AAAATAAATAACTTTTGATTTTATAGGCTCATAAATGAAAGAGATTTGCTCTGTCTCAACTGAGACTTTGGGCTTCTGAGGTAATGCTGGAATGAGTTAAGACTTTGGAAGATTATTGGAAAGGCATGATTGTATCTTGCAATGTGAGAAGGACATGAGATTTGGGAGGGGCCAGGGGCAGAATGATATTGTTTGGATATTTGTCCTCACCTGAAACTCATGTTGAAGCGTAATCCACAAATGCTGGAAGCGGGGATTTTAATCATGGGGGTGGGGATCCCTCATGGCTTGGTGCTATCTTCGGAATAGTGAGTGAGTTCTCGTGAGACCTGGTAGTTTAAAAGTGTGTGGCTTATTCACAGTAGCAAAGACATGGAGTCAAACTAAATGCCCATCAGTGATAGACTGGAAAGAAAATACAGTATATATACGCCATGAATTACTATGCAGCCATAAAAAGGAACAAGAACATGTTCTTTGAAGGGACATGGATGGAGTTGGAAGCCATTATCTTCAGCAATCTAATGCAGAAACAGAAAACCAAACACCACATGTTCTCACTTATAAGTGGGAGCTGAATGATGAGAACACATAGACACATGGTGTGGAACAACATACACTAGGGCTTATTGAAGAGTGGAGGGTGGGAGGAGGGAGAGCATCAGGAAGAATAGCTAATGAATCCTGGGCTTATCAGCTGGAGAATGGAATGATCTGTGCAGCAAACCACCATGGCACACATTTACCTATGTAATAAACCTGTACATCCTGCACATGTATCCCTGGACTTAAAAGTCAAAGAAAAAAAAGTGTGTGACACCTTCCCCTCACTCTCTCCCTTGCTCCTTCTTTCGATATGTGACATGCCTGTTCCCCCTTTGCCTTCGGCTATGATTGAAAGCTACCTAAGGCTTCACCAGAAATGTAGCAGATGATGGCACCATGCTTCCTATAAAGTCCGTAGAACCATGAGGCAATTAAAATTTTTTTTTTTTTTGAGACAGGGTCTCACTCTGTCTCCCAGGCTGGAGTGCAATGGTGCGATCTCAGTTCACTGCAACATCCGTCCCCCTGGGGTTCAAGCAATTCTCCTGCCGCAGCCTCCCAAGCAACCAAGATACAGGAAATATCTACCTTTCTCCCACATCTAAACATTACACCATCACACCTCGCTAATTTTTGTATATTAAGTAGAGACAGGGTTTCACCATGTTGGCCAGGCTGGTCTTGAACTCCTAACCTTAAGTGATCTGCCCACCTCCGTCTCCCAAAATGCTGGGATTACAGGCATGAGCCACTGCACCCAGCCTGTCTCTTTTCTTTATAAATTACCCGGTCTCAGGTATTTCTTTATACCAATGGAAGAATGGCCTAATACAACTCATCTGCCAATTGCGTATGTTTTAAATATCTTCTCCCTGTTGTAGTTATCATTTTCATTAGTGTATTTTGATAAATAAAGTTTCTTAATTTTAATTTAATTGGCTTTTTACAACTGTTTTTATAGTTCATGTTTTCCCTGCTCTACAGTCATAAGGGGTTTCCCCTATATTATATTCTAAGAGTTTTATAGTTTGACCCTCACATTTATTCCACCTGGAGTAGATTTTTGGGTCTTCAGTAGGGGTCTAATTTTTTTTTTCCAAACAGATAACTGTCCCAGTACCATCTACTGATAAAAACTCCTCTTGTGTAATGCTAGCCCTGACCCAATCAAATTTCCACATACGTAAGCTAAATCTAAGGCTGCTTTCAGTTCTAAAATTTTATTTAACTGAAGGCACTAAAACTTCTTGTTAAGATAGATTATCAATTAGTTTTAACTTGAAGACATTTTTTTAAAGAAGAAACACCCAATGCCAAGAGAATCCTGACTTCAGAAACATAACAACAACAACAAAATATTACACAGAGTTCAAAGAGCCTGGGCTCTAATTCCCTGTCTAAAATTTGCAGAGTATTTAAGATTAGACATTCTCCAGAAGAGTGTGACATTCTAAGTTGTCAAAAAAAAGGTACTCGAAAAAGGATAAAAAATATCTACCTTTCTCCTATGTCTAAACATTACATTTAAGGGAAAGTTTACAAAATTACACTAAATAATACTTAAAAGATCATAAACAGAGATGTAACTTAAATCATTCCAAATTTTAGTTTTATATCTAGAGTCTCATGAAGAATTTTTGCTTTGCTTCTAGTATTATTTCTACTACAGTTTTGGGCTCAAAAGACACTTGTTAATGTCATACATAGTTGTTTTACGATCTGAGTACCATCTAATTAAAGATATAGTAAAGGTGAAGAGTAGTTTCAAAAAGGAGCCTTTTTTTTTTTTTAACTGAACACTGCCAAAATCCCACATAGAAATTCGGCTCACTACATACTGGATAAAATTTAACTCAAGATAAGATCTTCAACTAATGAAATCACCTTTAATTTGGGCATACCTATTTTACATTATTAGTACTCTTCTGAATAGCCACAGAAGTATAAAATATATCTGAATAATTTTCAGCCAAGTATAGACACAAATCCAACTAAGCACCTTTATTAAAGCCAATTTGTAAAACATCCTAGTTTGTAAAATATAAATTTCCCTGATTAACACTGAGAAAAACGTGAATGTTTAAAATATTCATGCATTAGTAAACATGAAGGTTTTCTAACAACTTATTTTTGATATACAAAAATTTAATGCCATGTCAATCTTCTTATAAGAAGGGTTTCTTCTTATCACTAAGTAAATAAAGAGTATAAAGAGAAACCCTGAGATCTATTGAGTTCTTCACAATTCCACTAATTAACTTGCTCCCAAAATAAATGTGCTGACATGGACACAGCGGAATAACAGACACTAGAGACTCAGAAGAGTGGTAGTGTGAGAGGTGAGTAAGGGTTGAGAAATTAATGGGTATAATGTGCACTATTCAGGTGATGGTTACACTAAAAGCCCAAACTTCACCATTTCACAATATGACCATGTAACAAAACTGTATTGTACCCCCTAAATCTATAAAAATAAAATATAGTCATTTCTAAACCTGCTGAGTTTCTAAAATGAGTCATTCACCATTTCCAAATACTATGCTACCATATGTTTTCAGATATCACTGGAGCAAAAACAAAGCTGAAAAAAAAAAAGCTGTAACAGGAGTATTAACCTTGCCTTCATAATAAAGTAAAAAGTAAACTTTCCCACAAATGTGATAGTTAGGCATGGGAGAAAGGTAGATCTTTTTTATCCTTTTTCAAGTACCTTTTTTTGACAACTTAGAATTGCTATTTTGAAAAAAGTAAATCTACTGATAACATGTTCTATTAGAAAAGCAGGATAAGGCTGGGCACCATGGCTCAGGCCTGTAATCCCAGCACTTTGGAAGGCCAAGGCGGGCAGATAAGGTAAGTCAGGAGTTCAAGACCAGCCTAACCAATATGACCCCATCTCTACTAAAAATACAAAAATTATCCAGGCATTGTGTGCACACCTGTAGTCCGAGCTTACGCGGGATGCTGAGGCAGGAGGATCACTTGAACCCAGGAGCCAGAGGTTGCAGTGAGTTGAGATCGTACCACTGCACTCCAGCCTGGGTGACAGAGTGAGACTCATCTCAACAAAACAAAAAAAAAAAAAGAAAAGAAAAGGCAGGATAAGAATTTCAAGATCTCTATTCTTTCCTTTAATGTGCTTCAGTAACAACAAAAAACTTATTTTAGGCCATGGTAGTTTATTGGCAAGGTGTTAGAAACTGGGCACCAGAGAACAACATACTTTTGTAAAAATCTATCGTGTTCCCACTCCTAGAAATGTCAAAAATAATTCTCACCACAGCATTTACTCATGCATTCAACAAATATTAATTAAATACCTATTATATGCCAAACATTAGTGATACAAAGATTAGTCAGAGTTCCTATACTCAAGGACCGTAAGATCCATTATGTCATCTCAGAAGAATAAGATAGCTGGAGAGGATACAGAGATGAATAACTGATGGTAAATAAAGTGGCTCCCACAGGAGTGTTGACTCCAGATATTTATTAACACTCTTTCAAGACACTAAGACAATGCAGAATGAAGATGAGATATAAACCTTTTTAAAGAGTATTTATTCAAAGTTGAGATAAGGTGAGTACAACTTTATTCAAAAAATTTCCAAGTACTAAAATTAAAAAGATGTTTTCCAAATTTATAAACAGTTCAATATAGAATAATAAAAGCAAGTACTAGCTGTGTAAAATAAAGAACTAACAATACAACAGGCAGTTGTATATAAAAGATGAAAATACAAATTGGTTTAAAGAGGTTATAAATTAATGAATTTAATTCCCTAAAATGTTACCACCATAATATCTAGTCTAAAATAAATGGACCCTTATACACATATTTCATTCCTCTACACAATAGACTCTGCAAATGAAAAGGAATAATCACATTGTATATTCTTAGAAACTGGCTGTCCCTGCATATCATCAGTGATTTTGCAGCAGTAAACTATAAAGCAAGCAATTAAAATTCTAGTCCTCAACAAAAACTTCCAAATTAAAATCATTTTTAAAACCTCAAAGTTGAACAAAGTCTAAATTTTGCAAATATTCAACTCTATACAGAGTGATACAGAATGTGTTAAAATATTACCCTATAACATTTAAGTGACTTTGGTCACCACCCCAGCTCAAAAAACAACCATTACATAGTTATGAGCTTTTTTATTGGATATTATTTGGAATATTCAATTTTAAACCAAATCATAACATATACATGAACTGGCGGTTATCTTTCATTAAAATTCTGATTATGTAAATGCGGCATTGTCATATAAGAAAATACATAATTTTTCTCATAGTTTAGATCTTTATCTCCTAATTATTTTCTGGCAATGAGAAGGATATATTCTAACATTAATTCTCTATTCCCATAACCTTAGAAAATAGGCACCTCTGCTTGGGAACTGAAAGAGTAAGAGACAAAAGTAAAAATAAATAATTGACAAAATATTTACCGGTTTGATTCGCAGCTGACCACCCACCACCTCAAGAATGGCATGTTTTCTGGATACTCTCTTGTCTGTTATCTATAGAGTAAAAAAAAAAAATGTAAAGATCATGTTAAGCACCAACTTCACTAACACCATAACTACCTGACCCATTTGTTGGTAACCTTGGTATTTAGCACTTGAATTTTGGCATTATCTGCATGAGAACCAAATTTATCAGTAAAAACACACCAAGTCAACACAAAAATTCAATTAAACCTATTAGTCCACACAAAAAAAATGTAAAACTGCCAGGAGTCAGTACAGTACTCACTTTTTTACCAGACAGTGGTTCCACACTCAAGGCTGTGACATACAGAGAGTAACATCAAGCATTGGAATGAGTATCACCTGAATGAATTTTTTTACAATCTATTGTTAGCCACAATGACTATCAAAGAAGTAAGTACAAACTAAAAATCTATTAAAAATTTAAAGATTCCTTTCTTTTTCCCAGAATGTACCTTAGCAGGATAAAAACAACAGCAGTTATCTGTTGACTCATTTCATCATTTACACAGAATTTTAGCTTAAATGTTGTGATTCAACAAAACATTGCTACAGCTATTATTCACACTTTACAAAGAAATTGAAAGTCCAGAGAAGTAACTTGGGTAGGTCACTCTCCAAGCAGGCAGTACTCCAAATCCATACTCTTTTTAATAAAAACAGGTAATAGGCAGGGTGCATTGGCTGCAATCTCAGCACTTTGGGAGGCTGAAGTGGAAGGATTGCTTGAGCCCAGGAGTTCAAGACCAGCCTGGGCAACATAGTGAGACCCCCATCTTTATATAAAATAAAAAATTAGTTGGGCAGGGTAGCATGTGCCTAGAGTTCCAACTATTAATACTTGGGAAGCTGAGGTAGGCGGACTGCTTGAGCCCAGGAGGTCAAGGCTGCAGTAAGCCATGATCATGCCACTGCACTCCAGCCTGGGGGACAGGGTAAGACCCTGTTTCAAAAGAAAAAGTAATAATAATAAATGTGAGAACACATTTATACATGACTACACTTACATGTAATCATTCAAAAATTTCAAAAAATACACATTATTCTGTGACTGAGAGTAAAAAGTTCCTATTTCTGGCTTGGGTACCAAAATCTCATTGTTACTTCGATACTACAAACCAATTTTCTAACCAGCGGAGTAACAGCTATCAAATATCAAACTATGGCATATAAAGATGGTTCCTGTAACAGTCTATCTTAAATTTCTTTCTTTTCTTTTTAAAACTGTATTTTTGCAGGAAGCAATAAATGAACTTTTCCTATCTCTGTCTTTCTTTGAAGTAGGCTTCACTGACATTACAAAGATAAAAGACATTTTAAGCAATATAAAAGCATAATGTGACCTCTAGTGGACACATAACTCTACAACAGTGTAATTTCATTACAAGCTATGTGTCCCTACAGAATACAAAAAGAATCAAGAGTCTTTGCAATTAACATCACTCAGACATTTATAATGTTCCTTTTAAAGTAAACCCCTAAATAGTGAATACGCTATAAAATAACCATTTGCACTTTCTCAATGGGAAGTGTAAAGGTTTAATAAATTATCATTAAAACATTTTAATTTCAGGATTGATATACGGAGAGGGGGTGGGGAGCATGTAACATACAGATTATCTTAAAGATCTGGTGATCTGCTTTAACAGCCTATCACTGCTCCTTGTACAGAATGAATATCCAACACACTTTTATTATTTATTAATTAATATATCAACTGTAATAACAATCAATTATCAATATCAAGGCACCATTCCAGACTCGTCATGTATCATCTTTTTCAGTCTTCACAAAACCTATGAAGAAAACATTATTAGTATACTTCACTTCATAGGTGAGAAAATGGAAGTACAGAGAGTTTAAGCAACTACTCAGTTACATAACCAATAAGTAGTTGGGCCAGGACCTGAACCTAAGGAATCAGATTCCAGAACCATCCATGCTCTTAATGTTGTATTACATCCCTCAGTATTATTACACAAAACCTAAAGTAAAACCTCAGTTTTTAAGATTATTTATCCAGTGTAACTGTCTAAACTAGAACATAGTAAAGAACTGAAAACAAGGCAGAAATGGCTATTTAATAATCAAATAGACATTCAGAGGCAATTCAGATCCTAAATAAAGCTACAAGAGGCCCTCAGGCTTTCCATTTGGTCCTGCTGATCCTAATGGCATAGCTAAGTCTAACAAGACATGTCATCCAAATTCCCAATTCTCTATTCATTAAGTGGGTAGGGCTTAGTAGGTAGCACACTGACAATAGGAGAAAATGGCTGATGTTGGTCTGCGAGTGGAAAGAAAAAGGCTACTAAAAAGTAAAGAAACCCAAGGACTCAGAATACACTGGCTAGAGGCCATTTAGGGTAGGACAAACGGCATAACATACTTCAAAATATACTGTAGACTTGCCCAAGTTTACCAAGAGTCAACAAGTTTAAACCAAAACTTCAACTCAAAGTCAGATATTTGACATCTTAGAAAGCCATAAAAATAGTTAAATTGAGGAATTCCAATTTTTATAGAATAACTATAACCACCTAAATTCTAATCACAACATATATTCTTCAAAAAAAAAAAAAAGAAATCAACAAATAGAGCAAATAAAACAATACGTATCCCATCCCATATCTAATGCAAAACTAGGAGACGAAGATTACTAAAAGTTTTAACTTATATGTAAGAGAGATGAGGAATGCCAATTTCAGAAGATCAAGCCCCAGAACCTATGCTGGAGCAGAGAAAAGCAGGTGGCAACTGAAAGAAAAAGAGGATAGAGGGAGTAGGGATCTAGGGGTGCTGAAGCATTGGTATCACTCCCAGAAAAATTAAGTCACACTGTTAGTGGGAAATGCTAAAAACACATTTCAGATCCAACATTGCAGAAGCCAAGCTAATAGAGAATCCAAAAGAGTGGCATAAAAATATGTGGAACCAGGTATAGCAAGCTCAGAAAAGGCAGCATTTCTCAGGGAGAAGGAGGACACTTGGAAGAAAAAATAAATCCAATATTACAGACCTTGGCTTCTAAATACCATTCCCCACTAAAAGAAACCAGAGCTCTTTTGAGAAACGTCATATTCCAGGTCTGAGGCAGAAAAGCATAATGTGGACCAAGGATATCTTCTTGTGCCAGAGGACTAAGAAACGCTCAAAAATGGATGGGTGCATGTCAGAAGGACAGAGAAACCATAGAGAAAAAACTCTCGCTGACCAAATTTAGAACGATTTGAGCAACAAAATAAATAGTGATAATACTGGAATACAGCATATTGAATCCCAAAATAATCCATGAGTCTGAATTATAGACTGTTCTGGGATTCAATGTGCTATATTCCAGTATTATGGGAGGGTAAGGCTGGGGGAGATGCTTTTCTTTATAAAAGAATGCCAGCTTAAGTAGAAGAAATGGTAGAACCAGAAAAATCACTGTTTTCTAACTATCAATGTAAAAATTAAGTTAGGAAAGGATAAAAGGATGTCAGAAAAAGGCTTGTTGGGAAAAAATACTTATGAAGTATCAGTATCACTCCACAGATTACTGACAAAGGAAATGATATCTTAACTGGGAAATCTGGCAAACACCACCTTACCCAGGTGATCATACTTACCACATCACCACAACAGGACAAACTGATAGATATGCTTCCTAACATGGTACTTTGAATTCACATCACCTACTTAATATTTTCACCAAAAATGTTTAATGTGAAACAAATTATGTGCATGCAATCAGACAAATCAAAATTGGGGGATACTCTATAAATAACTGGCCTGGACCTACAGAAGCATTGATGTCATTAAAGACAAAAGGCAAGAAAACCATTCTGGATTAAATTAAAACATATTTAACTGGATCCTGATTTTTTAAAAAATGCAAAATGTACATTATTGAACAAAACTGAGTATAGAATATTAAAACTGATGGCACGGTTACACATTCCTAGAATATAACAACAGAATATAGCTATGAAGAAATGTCCTTGTTCTTAGGTGACACAAGTTGACATATTTAGTGATGAAGTGCCATAATGCTTGCAGTGTACTTGGTTCAACTGTGTTCAGGGGAAAGAAAAAAAACATGCACACACACACACATAGACATTTTATAGAAGAAAAATCAATGCCTTATTTGATTAAATTGCTGTTTGTCAACTAGTAAGTAGCTAAATTAGAGATGCTGTGTTTGGGGGAAAGCAGACCACTTCAGCACCTTCGTTACTGAACTCTGGCCAGAGGCATTGTTCAAAAGAGTTCTAAAAGGCAGTCTCTTACTGGCCCTGACTTCAGTGACAAAGCATTAATAGAACCAATTCAGAAAAAGGATTTTCATTTCTAAACATTCTTTTTGTACAACCAAAAGAATGGTTGTACAGAAAGGCAGCTCTGTACATCAGCTGTGAACCCTTCTGGACCTGGGCTTTTTTTGGTTGGTGGGCTATTAATTGCTGCCTCAACTTCAGCACTTGTTATTGGTCTATTCAGAGTTTCAACTTTTTCCTGGTTTAGGCTTGGGAGGGTGCAAATGTCCAGGAATGTATCCCTTTCTTGCAGGTTTACTGGTTTATGTGCATAGAGTTGTTTATAGTAATCTCTGATTGTAGTTTGTATTTCTGTGGAATCTGTGGTGATATCCCCTTTATTGTTTTTTATTGCATTTATTTGATTCTTCTCTCTTTTCTTTTTTATTAATCTGGCTAGTGGTCTCTTGCGTTGATCTTTTCAAAAAGCAGCTCCTGGATTTATTGATTTTTGAAGGGTTTTTTGTGTCTCTATCTCCTTCAGTTTTGCTCTGATTTTAGTTATTTCTTGTCTTCTGCTAGCTTTTGAGCTGTTTTGATCTTGCTCCTCTAGCTCTTTCAATTTTGATGATAGGGTGTCAACTTTAGATCCTTCCTTGCTTCTCATGTGGGCATTTATTGCTATAATTTTCCTCTAGACACTACTTTAAATGTGTCCCAGAGATTCTGGTACATTGTGTCTTCGTTCTCGTTGGTTTCAAAAATCATCTTTATTTCTGCCTTCATTTC